TGTGATACATAGCATTTTCTTTATTTGAGTTTAGACATTATTTATCTTCTATAGTGGAGAAGGAGTAAGTTTTCCTAGTTTAGACTTACTGTCAAGCACACCCTTTCTTTTCACTCTGAAGTACAAGCACTAACCCTTAGAACTGGTTAGACAGGCGTCTCCCTATACCTGTCCTGTTTCAGTGTTCTTCCTGTAGTAGTCCATGGGGGAGGTTTATTCTGGAAACATTTACGCTGCGGCAGATAGAGTATGCTTTTGTTGACCAATCTTTTCAACAAATGGTGTTTTTCTTTGCGTGGCCATTAATTGTCAGGAGTTCTGTAAAGAAAAAGGCTTCAGAGGGGCCACTAGATTTAGATCAAGGTCACAGCTCAAGCAGTTGACATAAGCAGGGGCTGGAGTCAGAACTTAGAAAACTGATAGATAATGGCAGTATTTAAGTAGGCTGCTTTTTCCAGAAGCAGTTAGAAAGAAAGAGTAACAGCCAGAAGCCAGCCCCACCCACGCAGAGATCTGCGTGTTTTTATAGGGAAAAGAGGCAGCAAAGGAGACACGGAAGTAGGAGCCATTCCTCCATTTCTGCTGCACTTCACACGGTGTGGCAGAGATTTGTTTGAATATTTATTTTCCCAGATCAGCTCCGTGTTTAAAATCCTTCCCAGGACAGTGAGCTGGGGACAAATCCCAGCTTCCTTGATTGGCACCAGGTCCGCCTCAGGCTGGGCCCTGCACGCCTCCCAGCCTCTCCCAACCTCCCTCACGTCCTGGACTGCAGTCCTTCCCCCGCCCCAGGCCTGTGTCTGAAACACGAGTCCCTGCTTCTCACGCCCGCCCCTTACTGGGCTGAGCCCTACTCCTCTCTCAGGGTCACGGCTCCGGGAGGCCCTCCGACCCTGTGGGCCAGGCCAAGCTCCACTGAACCTACCCCAGCCCTCTGTGAGTGTTATGAGAACACTTGTCATTGTATTGTAATTATTTGCCTAATTCCTCTCTTTTCCTTTGAACCTTAAGCTCAGCGAGCCCAGAGCCTGTAAGTAATGGCATTCCATAAATATATATTCAGTTAATTATATGCTCAGAGCAATACCTATAAATATAAAACCCTTGCTTGGTGAACCAAATGAATTTAATCCGTGTTGAAAATGTTTCTGTGGAAAACACACACGTGGCCGCTTTCTTCAGAGAACTTAGAAATGAATGTTGTTGGTGTTGTTATCCCACGTGGGCTGCAAGCACTGAGCTCTGGCTTCTCTTCTCTCAGGAGCAGGAGCCTGGTGAAGAACAGAAGGATTTCTGGCTGTTTGCATGGCATCCAAGCCCACCCAGTTGAGAATTTGCATTCTTCACACCCAGGTACGTCTTTCAGCACACGTTCTTGTGAGCGTCAGGTCCTGGCTCTACNCAGTATAGTGTTTGTGAATCAAGCTCCACATAGTACTTTGTTAGAACTTTAATCATTATTTAAATATTTAAATTAAAATATAGATTATTATCATGATCAGCATATTCATCCAGGAAGTGATTGAATCTTAACATCAGATTATTCTTTTATTTCCCTCCTGAGGATTTTATCTTTTTTGTTTTTACTGCCTTCTATATCCTGTTTATTATTTCTGAATTATTCAATGATTTCTGTTGCTTTTATTAGTAGATTTCTTTTAATAGAATTCCTCCATCACGTGGTTTATTTTTCACTTGATCAGGAATGTGATTGTTTTAGACTTTTATCAGGAAATTTGGTACTTTTATATTTTAAATGTAACAAAGTATCTAAACTGTTTTTCTCAGTTACTAAACATTTTAGAGTTCATAATTAATAGAAACTATGTTTTATTTCTCATAGAGCAACAGCAGTAACAAGGGCGAGGATATCTTCTGTGACCCTGAAGACGAATGGGAACCCGACATCACCAGTGCTCCAGTGTCTTCGTTTTCTAGAAGGAGGTAAAGACATTTTTGTGATTGGTCTTCTTGTTCCGGGTTTACATACAGGTCATTTCCTAATTTTAAAAGAGCTGTCTATTGTCGTGATGGATGTGTCTGAGAAGGGAACCCAAGAACGTGAGAGAAATGGTGTTACCGGTCACAGTACAGCACTTAGGGCACCAAATTGTTTGTCAGTTAAAGTAGGAACAAAAATTTTCAGCATCTCACCATATACGTCTTAAGAGCAACTTAGAGTTGCATAAATCTAATTTCCTATAAAAATGAACAGTGTTTATTACTTTTAAGTTACCCTTTCTCAAGAACTTGGCATATTCTCTGATACTTTATTGTACGTTCTAGAATTTGAAATGCAGCCCAGTTAGTCTGTGCATCACAGATGAATAAATCATGGTGATAGAGAACTTCTATCTAGGACAATTGCTGCTTATTAGCTAAGAACATAAAAGACTTCCACAGTGAGTAGCTGCTTTTCAAGGAAAAGCTCGTCTGCCGAGACCTCAGATGCTTGGTTAACAGAAAGGCAGATGCTTCGGAATAATAGAGAGGCCTTGGTCTTGGAACCAACATAGCTGCTTAGTTTGGTTTATAAACAAATACTTCTTTTTAAATAAATACTTCTTAGTTTGGTGTTTAAACAAGACTACTGTCTGCCATGTCCTGAAGATACAAAGATGAATAAAAAATAGCCCCTATCCTCAAGGAGCAGGAGTCGAGGAAACTGGGGGGACAGCTGATAAAGACCTGACGTAAGGTCGTGTGGGAGAACTGGGGAACAGTGGGGTTTATACAAACGCAGGGGGACAAGTCAGCGAGGACGCGCTGGCTGTGGGGTGGAGGGGGGCGAAGGCTCAAGGATGAGCCCTGGTTTGGACTGGGGTGACTGACCAAGGGCAAGTAGCATCCCTGAGATGGAGGGTAAGATGACTTTGAGGTTCCCAGGGGAACCTCATGTGTATACTCAGGTCCAGCACTCTGGAGGCGGGAGCCAGTGCTTCATCCAACAGAACCATCGTNCGTCTGCAGCTCGTGAAGGCCTGTTACTGCTGTTAGGAGGCCCCGTGTGCCTCAGCTTCCTCATTCCTAAAATCGGGGTGACGACATGTGGCTCCTGGGCATAGGAGACGTGAGTGGGATGGGAGACATGTGAAGTGTCCAACGCAGTTCTTGGTGTGTAGGAAGCGTTGCGTAAGGCTGGTTGCGGTACTGTTTTTGTTTATCATTCATGAGACTGACTGCATTGAATGAGCATAATGATGGGGTGCAGACGCGCTTCCAGCAGCACGTGTTTTGTGTGCTTTAGGGTGACCGGGTGGTTCTTGGCGGAGACCATTACTTTAGATTTCATCACCCAGCGGAAGTCCAGAGAGGGACGAGACCGGCCGGCGGAGATGTGCTTCCGAGCGAGGGTCCAAAGGACTTCGAATTTGCCAAGAACGAGTTGCTCACGGCGCAGAGGTCACAGTGAGTGCTGTGGGGGCGAAGCAGCGAGGCCGGGGTGGTAGGGTGGGGGTGCAGAGTCGGCTCCCGCGCATTGCCGGATCGAACCTTTGGGGACGTGGCCTCGTCTCCTGGTACATCCGTCCATCCCACTTGCATCTGCACTGTCCTAGTTCTGGGAACAGAAACAAGTGTTGAAACTTAGCTTTCACACTGGAGGAATTCATCATTTCATGGGGTGACAGACAGACAGACAGCAGTGACAGAGCCCTGCTCTGTGTGGGGGACCCCTGGCCATGACCGGGATCAGCGAAGGTTTCTAGAGACTGAGAAGTCGTCCCCTGGAGTGGAGTCCCAGCAGACCATTAGAAGTTAGCCAGCGGAGGACATCAGGGCGGGGTGCACCCTGATTTTTCTTTTCTTCTGCCTAGTTTTCGCTCGTGCAACATTGTAGGATTTCTGATTTAAGCAGTGTCCTTGTAAACAAAATGGTTTTATCTTAAAGGATATGGAGTCATAAAGAACTGAAAGCAGACATGAGACAGATGTGGTCAGAGTCACGTTTTTAGAGAGACCAGCAGGACCCAGGACAGGATGACAGGCTGTCAGTGCAGCTAAGGGGCGATTCAAGCAAGACAAGTGCCTTGTGCTTGGGGAGGAGAGAGCGGCAGGGCTCGGGACTGAGGGGCGGAGGGCGGAGGAGAGAGCTGCTGGGCGGGTCCTGCTGTTTCCTCTCCCGTGTCCGCACCTGCTTTTCCCTTGTGCTTGTATAAGACGCCGACCATAGACTTCGCCATTTACACGACCTCTAAGGGTCCAGTTCAGTGGTGGTCAGTACACATTGTCAGTAAGCTATTCTGAAGCTAATGAAAATTTAAGAACACTGTTGACGGACTGTCAGAAAATAAGTTTTGAGATTTAACTCTTTGTTTAATGGAAAATGTTTTAACGTGGTGCAGAACGTTATGTGAAGAACTCGTAACAGCACTTCCTGTGAATGTTTGGCACCTTGTAGGCTGGAAGCAGAAATCAAAGAGGCGCAGCTGAGAGCAAAGCAAGAAATGTTACACGGCATCCAGATTGCGAGAGAAATGGCTCAGCAGGAACTCTCCTCTCAGAAAGCTGCATACGAGAGCCGGATAGAAGTGCTGGAGGCAGAGCTGGTGAGAGGCAGAACGGGGCCTCCTTTCTCCGCCCATGGGCCCTGTGACCCTGGCTGTGAAGTGGTGATGTCCGCAGGAGCTGGGGGAGCTGCAGGGTCAGCGCCACAGCGCGGCTTGGCCTCCGCGACATTTACTTGAGGAAGCGCGCTGGCGGCAGAAACGAGAAATGCAGGAGCGTCTTCTAGGTCCCGTTTCATTTGAGCTGTGGTTCGTTCCCTGGTCCCCCTTGATCAGAACTCTCCCATGTTCAGCTCACCGCCACACGCACACCCTCGGGAGCACGACAGTGCTGACCTTCCCCAGGGCTGTCATCAGTCTGGGGGCGCGGCTGGGCCCCCGGGCGCTCTCCACGGCCTCTTGCATTCCCGAAACCCATTTAGGGGCGAGTGCTCGCAAAGGTTTGACTGGTGACGCTTATTTTTTGCTAGATTTGTCACTGCCGCTGAGGGAGAGAAGCTATAGGGAAGCTTTCTGTTAGTGAGTCAACTTCTCTGCGTTGATTAAAAAAAGGGACCTTTGTACATTTTGGGTATCATTTAAAAAAAATGCTTTGTAATTTTGTCCTAGTTATTTTTTATTATTGTTCTTTAAAGAAAGAAGAGTCTCAAAGGAAGAAAATGCAGGAAATGAATAACCAAAAAGCTAATCACAGAATTGAGGAGCTAGAAAAGACGAAGCAGCGCCTTGAACAGGAAATATACGTCAACAAGAAGCGCTTAGAAGTGGAGACGTTGGCTGCGAAGCAGGTGATTTTATCTTACAGCTCGTGTGAGCTACTTTGAGGGAAAGCTGGATTTTTTTCTGTTTTTTTTTTTTTTTTAGAACTTAACGGTGTCTTAGTAAGAGGAGCCACATCCCGTGTCCAGCTGAGAAAGGCCTGATGTCCTGGTTCTGCCCAGAGACCTGCCCCCATGTCACACACATGTGTGAAGGGGACACAGCTATTCTTTCCAGCTGGTTCCGCTCCAGTTTTCTCTTTTTATGCGTCCACAGCCGTCCTGTGATGGGTCATGCCAAGGGATGTAAAAAGAGAAACAGTGCTAGGCAAGACAATGGGAGGCAGAAAGGCACAGCCCTCACCCAGGTCCACCCTGATGGCAGCGGGGGCCGCCTGCCCGAGGGACCCCTGAGGGCCGGGGCTCAGGCACCGACCCCATCACCGCTGAGGGCACAGCACCCCCTGGGCCACCCACGTTCACCAGGTTCCCGGACTGAGGACAAAAGCAGAGCGTCAATGTGTTAACGCTGCCCACCACCTTTCAGTCAGCCTTCGGCCACCCTTTCTCGGTATATGAGTGCTGCTCAGAGTGGGGCCCCCGACCAGCAGCGTCCACGTCACCTGTTAGAATGCAGGTTCTCAGGCCCCGTGCAGAGCTGTCTGCCCAGAAACAGGGTCCGCAGGGGCTCCTGAGGTCGCTGATGGTTGAGAACCACTGTTCCCATTGCTGTGTTGGTCCTCGGAGCTTAATCTCAGCGTTAACCCCAAGTGGCAGTTTTGTCTCTTTTCCAAGTTTGTGGCAGGGGTGGGGCCACAAGAAAATACCCCTAGTGACCCCAGAGCTCAGATACCTTAGTAATATGGTGGGCGTGCGTTACTCGTCAACCCCAGGACACAGAGGGCGAGTTGGCACCTCAGAGAACTCAGGGAAGAAGCAGAATGGTGTAAACCTTGAAAATAATTATTAGTGGGCTATTAGAAGGCTTGTTTACGTCACATGAGGCTTTTCGGTGTCTTTTAAATTTGACTTTTTAATTTAGTCAACAAATGTTCTTGAATGTGGGCTTTTTTGAGCAGTTTTTCTCCTTTTTTAAAAGGTTTTTTGTTT